TTCTGACAGATAGCGGCATGAATCTGCCACACTTGTTTTGCATTCAACCGTTAATTACGGTCCTTTCAACTTCACAATCATGGCTAATGATGGTGGGGAAACAGAGAACAGTAGAGTCAGCAGACTTCATTCTGGGAAGAGTGGGAAAGAAACAATACAAAACTGCACCCACCCACTGTTTACAACTGAGACTGCTACTCTGGGTACCATTTGGAGGAAATCAAGGCTGCCCAGAAGCCTGGAGTTTTGGAAATGAGACAGCTGGGGGAAAGTTTTACTACTCTAACGGAAGGAAAGTCCTTTAGGGCTCATCTATCTATGGTGGAAATAGCTCAGAACCACATCTCTCATGCTACAGTGAAATTCAGACTGTACTCACACTTATTAGTACCTTTCAGTATTCAAGATCTTTTTTTCAATTAACTCTCAAATAAGTATTTCAATTTTATAAATGAGAACACTGAGACTTAGAAACAACAAGAAACAAGTTATAACCTCATTCATTCATTCATTCATTCATATAATGATGCTGAGTACCTATTATGTGTTAAATATTATACTCAGTATGGAAGATACAGCAGCAAACAAAACAGAGTTCCTACCTCCTGAAGCTTAGTCTAACAAAGGAGGCACACACTATGCAAAAACAAGTGCAATTTAAAAACACTGAGCATTTTAAAGACAATGAACAGGTTAGCATGCAAGTGAGTACTGGTGTGGATGAATCTTAGATAACATAGGTAGAGAGTTTCCAGAGGATGTGATATTAATGATGAAGTCTGAAAAATGAGAGGGCATTAGTTCTTCAAGGAATAAATAAAATAGATTCAGGCAAAATAACGCTTGTGTAAAGGCCCTAATAAGTGAAAAATATATCTTGGGATGTTTGAGAAATAATATCTTAGAAAATGATCACGAGAAGAAGGGTGGTTCAAGTGTAGCAGGCAAACCCACATCTGAAGTATAATGTTAAGTCTGTCTACGAGAGAACAGGAGATAGGATGGAAGAGATACAGAAATCATGCCATGAGAGAAACAGAAGTAATTGCATATTAAATATCAATAAGAAACGGCCTGGGTGGCCAAGGATGGTAGTTGGTGCTGTCATATTTCTCCAAAAGGCTGACATAGGAAAAAAGATTCGATTTGTTTCAATCAATACAAGATCTCAAGTGGAGAGAGTTAAGGAGACCGAATTTGCCTTTGCAGAAGAAAGAAAGTGCTGATAATTTTACCGGCTCCCCAAAGAATCAACTCTCTCTCCAGAGAATTGCAACAGGTCAAGCTGAGGCTATATAATGACCTGCCAAGAATGCTTTATTGGAGATATCATGTTGATTTCTAGTCTAGTCTAGACGACACTTCAAAATCCATCCAACTCTAGAATGCTACAGATCTCTAAGATAGTTGTATTCAAAACAAATGGTTACAATATGGCCTGAACCACAAGGAAGTGAGGTACTTAGAATTCAGCACCAAGGACAGTGCCTGGCAGTTGGGACTGCCCCTACTATTCAGACAGAATATTATTTCACACATTTATTTATTTTTTATTTCTCCCCTACTAGAATGTAAATGCTATGAGGACAGGGAGTTCTTTGTCTGTCTGGCTTACTACTTTATTCCCAGCACTTAGAAGGGAGTATTTTATTTTACATATAGTATGAGCTTGCTAGATGTTTACTTAATCAGTAATATCTAACTCTTAAAAAATACGTTTTTATTGATTTTAGAGAGTGAGGAAGGGAGAGGGATAGAGAGAAACATCACTGAGATAGAAACATCGATCGGCTGCCTCCTGCATGCCCTTTACTGGAGATTGACCCCAGAACCTGAGTGTGTACATTGACTTTGCCCTGACTTTGGAATTGAACTGGTAACCTCTTGGTTCATGGGTTGACGTTCAACCACTGAGCAACACCGTTAGGTTAATATCTAACTCTTAATTGCTTACACACAGTTAATATGGTTTTGTGTGTAGGCAGTGTGATTGTAAAGGCTGAATATTTAGCCATTTAATATCCATAGAATAAAGACATCTGGACCCTAAAATTCTTACCATCCTCTGACTGAAACTTGGAGGTAAAGTTGGGAGTAATGAACTTGATTGATAGTGAATTATTCAACTGGGACTACAACTACCCTGCAACAACTGGCCTTTATCCTTTTGTGTAACTTGTTTTAAGTTAATATAACTTGGCTTCATCCTTTGTTTTTAATCTTCCAGTACCAGGGATTTGCTGAATTCTGGTTTTTACTTGACCCAAGGTATATTTTCCACCTATTTTGAGGGGAGGAAAGCACTACTTTAAAAAAATCAAATCTAATGCATTCGTCTTACTTTATAGTTGCTTATTTTTATGTTTACTTATAACTTCCTTTGTTTCTCCCCCTTTTCTTTGTAGGTTGTTGTTTTCTGGCTTTTTAATGATAGTTTGGAAGACTGCCTTTATGTTTAAAAACTATACCTTAAAAATTCTTGGTATCAAAAATAAAATAGCAGTATTTATTTCATCTTGTCTAAAGTGGAAAACCTAGCAGATTTTTATTTAGACTCATAAATCCTCTCTTTCTCAGTTTCTATTGACATAATAGTGAATTGCAGACCCAGATCACAATTGTTATTATTTTACATTACACATCCTCTCTTTAAGTATTAGTTTTTATATAAACCTTCTCTTTTGTAACATATTTGGAGTAAGTATTTAGCATCAACACTATATATAATTAGTGTCCATGCTCACTGTGGGTCATTTTATCCCATATTTCTCTACTCTTGATTTCTTTATTTTGATTCTTTGCTCAGCCAAATGCTCTTTGAATGATTTATTAGAAGCGGGGCCTGTGGGAGCCTGTGGATACTGAAAATGTCTTTCTGATGTATTGGCACAAGAACAACAACTTGGCTGATAAGGAATTTGTGGGTTATACCATTTTGACTCAAAAGTCCTCCAGGCTTAGCTGCACTGTGTGCTTGCTTTTTGATGTGAAGAAATCTGAGAGGGGCCAGGCAGGGATTTGTCAGACTGAGAATAGCTTTTCTGCTCCTATGACCTTTTCACACAAACCCTGTTCAGTAAAACTTAATACTAAGTACAGTAATTGGAAGCAGTGTGGAATCTCTCTCTTGCCAGAAAAATACAACAGCTTCACAGCTTTTCCTCTCTGTTCCTGTGAGGCCAACTGCACCCTCAGGACACCTGGCCCAAGCACCTTTCTGGTTCCATTCCTGCTTGTGTGTCAATCCTGCAAGTCTTAGATCCAAAAGGGGAGTACACATGGTGTGGGCTTGAGAGCACAAATAATTACTGCTTACTGATTAGCAAGACCTTGCTCATCTTGGAAGGAGTAGTAGAAATTGCTTCCTAGATCAGCTAGCTGAAGAGTGGGGGCGGGGGGGGGAGGGGACTTCATTCCCAAGGGCAAAACCCCATGTCTTGAGAAGGGGACTGTGGTGTGGTGTTTGGGGAGCAGAACCTCCAGAAACCCTTCTTCCTCACCTGCTCTTCTGCTCAGGGCCGACAATGTTCCTCTTGGGGTCCAGTTGTCAGTGTTTGGGTTCTATAGTCTGGGTCTCTTGCTGGGTTCTTATGAGCATCGTAGTAGGAATGTAACAGAGTATGAATTGGGTACAACTATTACTCCTCTTCACAGCATGCAAACCCAACAGCATCTCCTGACATGTTGCCAAGAGCAGGCGAGCCACGCCTTCCCAGGGCTGTGCTGAACCAATAAACTGGCCGTTATGGGATGCAGTGAATCAGGAACAAGGTGGGCCCCAAGATGCTTCTGCCCATCTTCATGTCCCCCGCTTAATACATCCGTGTTACATGCAGACGGAAGACCAGATGGGCAGGTGGAAGGCAGTTTGGCTGCTTCTCTTTGTAGCTTTATACTCTATGTGAGGAGTGTTGCTTGAACCAGTAATAAATGTAGAACTGAAATACCAATGTGGAATTTAAATGGGTCTGTGGACATTTTAAATGTTAATTAGCTCCTCAACCCAGGTTTCTCACAAGATGATGACTGCCACCAGAGCCTGCACAGGCTCTTCATACGTCACCAAATCTGCTTTGGCTCAGCTTCCCCTTCTCCAGCCGCACTGGGGAGCATGGCACCTGCTCCACTCCCTTGCATCGCTATAAGGGCACATCTACATAACCTTAGTATGAACTATAGAGGCCTAGCATATATCAGTTGTTCATTATAATTTGTTGAATAAAATATATTAACCTGGAGTATGTCCACAAAGGCATCCTAGAGAGAAAAGATAAACTCGTGTCATAAGAGGGACTAGCTTGCAGAAAATAAGACCAGATGGTTGTGTTGTGCAGAGGGGAGGTGGAGAGTAGGAAAGATCTTCTGCAATGGAAAGACTACCACCTGAGAAGGCGATTGCATGGGTTTTATGGGTCCCCAAGAATATGGACCAAGAGCAACGCATAGAAGCTAGAATAAAATATATATTTGGTCCAGAAAAAATGCTTGACACACAAAAAGGTTACCTTGTTTTTGGGAGAAAAATATATTTTCTAATGGGATTAACAGTAATAATAAAGGAGCTAGTATCCACTGATTAACTAAAATATGCTTATCCATTCACAGGTATCAAATTGATAGGTATTTCATAGATGAGGAAATTAAGACTCAGGCCATGTGATTTGCCCAAGTGAAACACCATTTTTTAAAATCCTCCAATACAGGGATCTACAATTTTTTTTCTGTAAAGGGTCATATAGTAAGTATTTTAGGCTTTATGGGGCAGAGAGTCTCCGTGTCAACTACTCAGCTGTATGGTCGCAGCATCAAAACAGTCATAGACTATATAAATGAAATGTCAGTGCTGTAGTAAAGACAAAATAAAACACCCTATTTGCAAAAAAAAAAAAAAAGGTGTGATGCTGAATTTGATCCACACTCTGAAGCTGTACTGCCTTCTCATATGAGAGAGGAAAAAATACAAACAAGATGAGCAGTGGCCTCCATGTGGCCATACTTACTCCATTGGCTTTGCTGAGTGCTTGGAAGTAGATACTGTAGCTTTTCAGAGGGGAAAGAGGAGGGTTCCAGTAGCCATTGTATGTCTTGTTGTCACCCACTGTGAAGGGCTGTGTGACAGGCAGGTTGGCAGGCTTCAACTCAGCAGCAAAGTAGTGCAGAGAATCCAGGCTGGAGGCGTTCCTATAGCTCACAGGCACCGAAAAGCACTCGATGATGTCAGCTGCCCGCCGTGATTTCTGAAGTCTTTCCTCCTTGACAACCAGCTGGTAAACACTGGACAGGATAGAGAAGAGGCGAATGAATGCTACTGGGTGGGATGAACTTGCTAGTCATTATCATCACCTCTCTCTACAGCTAAACCTCCCTCCTGGGCTCCAGACTTACAAACCACTGCTTTGTGGAAATCTACCTCCATTTACATGTTCCAAAGCCAGCTCACACTGGATATGTCCTTAAACGCAACTCTTCCCTACAAACCCGCCTGCTCCCTGACATTTCTTCCTTAGTGAAGGGTAGTGCTGCCCATCAAGTGGCCAGATCTTGCACGTGGGGCTCATCCTCAATTCCTACCTCCTTATACTTCACTCCACACCTCGAATCAATAAGCCCTGTTGACTTGACATCTGCAATCTGCACTTGCTCCTCCGCCTTCTCCTCCTCCCACTCATAGTTCTGAGGATGGGCATGTATCCACCTCTTACCCAGGCTCAACGGGTCTCTTTGTCTCTAATTTATTTGATCAACTAACCAGTCAATCCATTGATCTTCCTAATCATATAGCAGTGTCCCTTTTCAAACACTGTCATAAGCTGTCCATTATTTGAATGACACAACCAAAACTCCCCATCTGGCATTTGGGACACTTTGTGCCTGGCTTCGAGTCCACCTTTTGGAAGTCTGATCAAGGAGAAGAGAAGAAACAGCACATACAAGTTGTGCAAGTTTCGTGGCCCTAACCCATCCACTTTAGGAAGCAGTATGAGAAGAAAGAAAAAGAAAGTGGGTATTATTTTTGTTGATTGTAGTACCCTCATCCCATTATCAGTGCCTTGAAAATAGATTTATCGAAGCTCTTTTTACCTCACTGGCAATGATAAAATCATATCTAGGTGAGAATAACCCCCAAGAGACATATTTTAGTGCAAAAAATGTGGTTGCAATAAACTATTTAAGGTTATTTGTAAGTTAACAGGATGTTTTTTCTGTAGTAGAAAAATCCTGATAACATGAAAGAAGAAATTAAAATGCTCACCTCACAAGAGAGTATTTACTCACCCAGTTTCCCTCCTGTGATACCTTCTCTATTTTTCCCAATCAGAACACTGACATTTATGATCATATTTTCTGCATGACCTAACCCAGGGACCTCTTCTTTTAGGGCCCTGAAAGCTATGCTGCAGCCCCACCTCAATGCATAAGGTCAAGGAGAGTTTGAACCTTCTGTCACCTCCTGGTTCTGTCATCCTCGCTGCAGCTCACCTTCAACGCTACAGTGACTGACGCCATCCTCGTCTCCCCAGCTTTTCAGACCCAGGCTTGCCAGCAACTTGCATCCTGTAGTTTCAGTGTCTCCTGAGACAAGAACATTCTACTCCAGTCCCAAGTCGCAAGACCCCCAGCCCCCAGAGAGGATAGTTGCCTCAGATACCTTTAAGAGCAAAGCTTGCAGGAATTCCTCTGCAGGCTTTAGAGAGCCCCGCCTCTAGACCATCATGCTTCCTCCAATTCTTGAACTAATGGTTTAGATGATCACTCCTGCTTCACTGAGAGAGATCATGGCCCTATCAGACCCATCCATCCATCACTGACACACCCTGTGGCCCCCTTTCTATATTTAGTGAAGATGTCTCCAGTCAAGGGCTGTATGCGTTTAGAATGCTGACATCAGATGATAGAGTATACTGTAGCTCAAAATAGAAGGCTGCCTGACTTCGGAAGGGCACCTTTGGGCTCATGTTCTCCCAGAAACAAACTTGTTTTAGTTCCAGTTCTCCCAGAATCAGGCTCTCAGCCAAGGTTTCAATGAAATGACGTGTTGCTAAGAAAGTGAACCCAGGAGAAACCAGTAAGGGAATAGGGAGAGGAGAGGGGAGGGAGCCAAGCAGGAATGTGATTTCGGGCAAAGATCCAGTCTCTCAGCCTGATCCTATGGGGAGCCCTGGAATATAAACTGTACCTCAGAGTTAATCTCATCTCAACCCAAGGGCATTTGGGCCTCCAGTGCCAATCAGTGAGTGGGTACGTACTCCACTGCAGAGACAGAAACTCCCAGGCACTCCCAGTTCATGTGGGGGCAGAAGAAGTGGCCGTGGTCGTCTAATGGGGAACATTGGAAGAAGGTCAGGACTGAGAGCCATTCGCATCAAAGCACACAGAAGCTGCTGATCAGCACCCACAGAGTCCCCTACAGGGCACATGTGACTTGTGTAGGAGCAAAGATCCAGGTGTACAAGGTGGAGTTCAACCTTTGTTTCCAGCCCCACTCAGCTGAGGCACATGGGACGTCCCATCGTTCACAGTGACGTTTCCACCACTGATTATCTTCTTGGATGATTCCACGTGTTCATGTGTAAACTTGTTTTACTTTTATACTTGTATATGAGCCACAGGTACAAGGAGGTATAAATATGTAAAATATAAAATATCTAAGAAATTATAAAATTAAAATAGTTCCAGTCCAGTGGGAGTCCTGCCGGGCAGCGCCCACATCCTTTAGTGGCTCCACTGGTCACTGTGCCCACCTTCACTTGCTGGCACTACAAGGTGTCCGTGGCTTACCTGTGCTCTTTCTACCAAGATTGTAACCAGGCATTTCTCCAAATAAGAAATTTAGAAGGAAATATCTGGATATTGAGTTAGCTCATGGCTACTGTGATTCCACTGTTCCCATGCCCATACATTGGACAGAAAAAAAACAAAACATGTTTTAAACATCAAAAATTTATACTGATTGTTCAGGCTGATATCGCCAATTCAAATCCAAAAACACAAAAATCTTCCTGACCATCCCCATTCCACATTTGTTTTTCCTTTCTTCTTAAAAAATTTTTTTAAATTGATTTTAGAGAGAGCAGAAGGATAGGGAGAGAGAAACATCAATGTGAGAGAGAAACATTGATTGGCTGCCACCTGCAATTCAGGCATGTGCCCTTACCAGGAATGGAACCAGTGGCCTCTCAGAGCATGGGGCAATGCTCAACTAACTGATCCACACTGGCCAGGGCTATTTTTCCTCTTCCCTACAGTGAGAACCCTCATTTCCAACATCAACATTTTCACTCATAAACTCTCTCACACAATACACACAAAATCGTCAGAACTAACTCATCAATGCCACAACCAACCTTAGTACTCACGAGTAAAGTTTACAATTTCTGCCCTGGCCTGCTCTAGCTCCTTCCCAAACAACTCAGTCCCAACCCATTAGGTAGGGAGGAACAAGGCAGGTACCTGTATGTGAAGGGGGAAGCCCTGAGGGAGCGGAAGCCCACCCAGTGTCCCTGACACCTGTTCACATGATTTGCGAGGTCAAAACTAGTTTTAGAATAACATTAAGACATTCTCTGCCTTTTGCACATTCAATCTCTCACAAGGGTACTGTGGAGTTCTTGCATAGCCATAGGACTTCATGACCGCAAGAGGCTGAATTCTCTCCATTTACTTCAATCAAGCAACATAATGCAATAGTTTGAATGCAAAAACAGATATAGAACCTAGCAGCCTTCTAGTCCACTGGACGCTAGAGGTTAGCAAAAATGTAAAACAATGCTACACTTCTCACTAAATCAAATTAATTATTTTCATAAAAATATTTTATTGATGCTAACATGTAATGGGCTCACTACTATTATTTTCAATAAAATGATTTTTATTTAAAGTTTTGTTAAATGAATGAATATTTTAAAATATTTCTCAGTTGCATTTTCTAATACGGTAAATTGATATATAATATTAGGTATAACTCACGTAAATTAAACTCAAGATTTAAAAAATTTTGTTTGTATCCTTTGACTACCAATCAACCCCAGCAATCACCAATTTTCTTTGTTTCAATGAGTCCATTTCCTATAAGTTGGTTTTCCAGTATTATTGAGGTATAACTAACAAATAAAAATTATATATATTTAAGGTGTACAATGTGAGGCTTTGATATATGTATACATTGTGAAATGATTACTACAATCAAGCTAATTAACATACCCATCACCTCATATAGTAACCATTGTGTGTGGTAAGAATATTTAAGATTATTCTCTTAGCAATTTTCAAGTATAAAATGCAGTATTTACAGTTCTCCAGAACTTATTCATCCTGTACAACCCCTGGACCAACACCTCCCCATTTCCTCTATCCTCCAGCCTCTGACAATCACCATGCTCTAGTCTGCTTTTATGAATTGGACCATTTTAGATTCCACATATAAGAGAGATCATGCAGTATTTGTTTTTCTTTGTCTGACTTATTTCACTCAGTATAATGTCCTTCAGATTCATTCTTGTTGTTACAAATGGCAGGTTTTCTGAATAATAATCCATTGTTTCTTCATACCACACACTTTCAATTTCAACATGGACACAGGATTCAAGATCAATATACAAAAATCAATTATACTTTTATCATTAGAAAAGAAAAATCTGAAAATGAAATTAAGTAAGCACTTTCATTCACAACAGTATCAAAAAGAAGGGAGGGGGCAAGGGGGAGAGACCAACCAAAGGTCTTGTATGCATGCATATAAGCATAACCAATGGGCACAGACACCAGGGGGATGAGGGCATGAACGTTAGTGGGGGGGGGGGCAATGGGGGAATAGGGACACATATGTAATACCTTAATCAATAAAGAAAAAAAAAGAATACTTAGAAATACATTTAAATAAAAGAATTGAAATATTTGTACAATGAAAAGTACAAAACATTGCTGAAAAAAATTGAAGAAGATCTAAGTAAATGGAGATGTATTCCATGTTTATGGTTTGGAATAGTCAATTTTGTGAAGATGGAAATTCTCAACAAATTTATCTCTAGATTTTTAAAATTTTCTATTGAAATTATTGGGGTGGTATTGATTAATAAAATTATATAGGTTTTAGGTGTACTATTCCTCTAATATACCTGTATATTGTATTGTGTGTTCACCACCCAAAGTCAAGTTTCCTTCTATCACTATTTATCCCTCTCTTTACCCTCTTCGACCTCCCCCAACCTTCCCTTTCCCTCTGGTAATCACCATACTGTTGTCTGTGTCTATAATTTTTTTTCTTTTTTGCTTAT